AAAAAAAAAAAAAAAAATTATTGTTCATATATTTATTTCTTTACCAACACAATATAAGTAAATTGACTAATTACACAGAGAACACTCATCGATATTCACATGTTGCCTATAATTATAATAATTGTTATCGACTTTAGAGGGCTGTTTTTTCAAAACCTCTAAACCAAACTTTCAATGGATCGTGTGTGCATATATACACAGCAGAAATAGATGGAGGGTAAAAACGAAATTTAAGCAACATATTTTGCTATATACTGCGCAACGCATATGCGTAACATGAAACGTACACTCGATTTTTAATGCACATATATGAAAAGTCGATTGTAACTAAATAATTTTCTTTTTATTCAGTATATTTTGTGTCAGGAAAAACCCATGAATCGAAGTTTATCTTCTTAAATATAATTTGTCAAGCTTGTCAAAGCAATTTTCAAAAACCGTCAAAAATGCTTTTCATTTTACAATTAGAAAACTTCACCTCCTACGAAGAAAAGTATTTGTATGTATGAAAAGAAAAGAAAAGAAAAAAAAAAACAAAAAAAAAACAAACAAACAAAATGAAACTACAGGTACTTAGAATTTTGATTGGCGATAGTTTTGGCTTTTTTCCTCATTTCGTAACTTGCGTTTTAAACAACTTTAGTAATCTCTTTAGTTTAGGTGTCCTGGAGCCTGCTGGAGCTTAAGTTACCAGATTTACGACTAATTTACTTAGGTAAGCGACTACTAAAAAAGACTAGTGATCCTCTAGGGATTAAGTAGAATAATACACAACATCGAACGTGGATATCTGTCTCTCTCTCTCTCGCACATTCCCACCTTTGGATTCCAAAGTTTGCAAACCTACCACGTTCGATGTTGTGTCTCTTACGTGTGCTTCAGCGCCGACAACGCCGTACGAGCAGTCTATTTTTCTTATATCTCTATAGCAGAGATTAGTAGTCTATAGTTGTCTATAGTTGTCGCTCGCGTTCTTGCACGTGAAAAGTAAACAACATAACCTTAAAATCAAAAAACTATNTGCTCACAGACGAGGATTTCAAGAGAATCGACATGACGTTGGCAAAACAGCAAGTCACGCATGCGAAAAAAGGGATAAAACGCCCATTAGAAGAAGAAAAGGGTAAAGGGGAATTGGTAAAATTAGGTGATATTGAAAATATTTACAAGAGGCGCAAATTCACCAAGGAAGAACGAGTAGCCAGTGTCAAGGTAGTGTAATATTTTTTTTTTTTCTTTAAACTAAGGACACCGATGATGAATACAAAAAAAAACAATATAATAATTATAAATAAATACATTTAAACTCTAGAAAGGACAAGAAGAGAGAGACAAGTTTGGCTACAAAGACGGTCGTCAAAATCCCCTGTGCAGCAGAACAAACCGCGAGAGAAGTAAGAACAAGAACTACATGATGATAAAGCACAAAGTTAGAAGCAAAGTCAAGCGATCTTTCAAAGATAAACAAATAGCACTAAGGAATCACTTGCTCAAGTTAAAAAAGATGAAATAGAGCCGACGTTTGTAGCTTCATACATATATGTACAAACTTGGTGGTTTTTACACTGTTAATATGTAAAATCGAAAGATCTTCTATACGTGCAAAATATCAAATTTATTTAAATTTCAAACAACGTGTGTAAAGTAATTTCAACGATTGTTTTTTCCAAGTTAACATTAGGTGGTACCAGTTACGACCGAAACAAGCAGCAGCTGATAACTCTCCTACCGTTGCTCCAAAAATTATCTCACCATGTATACCTATAGATTTTCCTAAAGCATTGCAGACTCATCGACCGAACGATGGACAGCAGGGCGAGGTAAAGTGCCGACGACAACGACGACGGGTGGTTTTTGTATGCACACAATATAGTTGTTCACCCAAGCGAGGTGCACAAACTGTACAGCGGCGGCGTGTGACTCCAAAAGCGGGCGCATCTCTCCTCTCCTCCACCCGTGATCCTAACTGCCTACGTTGGCTCATTCAGTCACGGTCTAGGCGTGCGTGTATGCTTGGCAAAGCTGTGCCTCATCTTCTCTTGTATAACACACCTCACAGCAACAGCATGTCTCTTTATACAAAGATGTAATGCAAGTATGCTACATAAGAGTTTGAGAAGAGAGTAAGAGTTGAACATGCGGGCTCGGTATAATATTTTTATCGTTATCTCCACCTTTGGTTTTTTAAATTAAAGTTGTAATGTATACAACGGGTTGTCGTTGGCACACGTGCTTCTGATAATATCATCCGGAGTTGTGCTTTCTCGAAGGAGGTAATTGTAAAAAAAAAAAGATTGAGAAAGTTGCATCAAAACGGCAAAAGGATGCTGATAAACGAGGAGCCGGAATGGCCTACCGGCATCACCGAGGATGACCTACAAATGTTTCCCGAGTTCAACACCATGAGCCCTTTCGGTATGTTACGAGAGATATACTATACCAATATATACCATTGAAAAACGTGCTGCGTATTGTACATGATGATCATCATCGCCGGTCACTTTTTTTTTTTCTTCCATCCTTTATAAATGCAATATACACCTTTGTGCCGCGATAATGAGCTTCCGAGAAATTTACACGCGCTTATCGCCAGTTAGAAAAGCGTTTTTTAATGTCACGTCTCAGTTTGAAAACGCGCGTATGTTTGTGTGCGTATAATCACGGGGCTTTATTATTATTTTTGTTTGTACATTGATCACCACGACGTTCGGTAAAAATAGGAGCCATCGTCGGTGCGGTACTGCATCGATTAGACTGAATTATCGATGAAGCTCTTAGCATCGATCGACGCGTGTATACACAGGTGTTTAGATGTACCGGATGCTCTGGAAATACGATTTAGAGTTAACTTAAGGGTCCGTCATGCAAAACTCATGGGCATAAGGAAATATTACTTTACGCTTCGATATTGCGAGGGGCCTACATTTTTACATCAGAGGCTTTATTTTATAATACATAGAGACATCTAAAAAACACCATGTTGTGTGTGGATCCGCGTTGGCGCTTATCTCTCATCGTGTCCTCCCCGCGCGCCCGTTCCACCCATCATTCCCCCGTTTTTTTCTTTTCTTCATGCATAAAATACTTACATGCGCGCATCGGCCATTGCTCATTACATTTTTACAAACCAAGTGGAAATATATAGGTCGGTCGTTCTATCGATTTATATTTCTCACATTTTGGTTGAATTGTACGTATAAACAAGCGATGTAGGGATCGGCTGAAAGGGAAATCGGTGGAAATCGGTTGGGTGGCTTAATTCATACGAAAACAGAAGATAGCGCTCGTTCGACTGGTCTACTGTTTTTGCGCTTATAATGAGTTTATAATGTTTAGCCGAAAAGAAAGATAGCAGAACTAAAACACGAGGCAAAATGCCGTCGATACCGATTTTTTCTTCTTTTTCTTTTATTCTAATTAATTTCGCCGCAACTGTATATTATATGCTCAGCGATTAGATACTCGAGCTGTTGCTGATAAATGTACATCTGAGCGTTTTGGTGACATTTACATGTAAGGGTGTACGGAAAAGAAATGTACGCTTTATTAGTTCTTAGTTTTTTTAATTTTCAGTGACGAAATGTGAAAAAAGTTTGTAGATTTTCAGGTGTGCCTTATTGTCTCGATTTTTTCATGCGAAAACAATAATTTATACATGATCGGAGTCGATCCTCCTCAATCACGGTACTTGGCGACTATTCGTACATACAATTTCGATTTTTTTTTCTACACCTTCCGAAGAAAGAAAAGTAGATGTACACTCCCGGGCTTGAGTAGTAAATAAAAAAGAAAAAAATTCTCGATTTTAAATGAGATGTCGAAACTTCAATGACTGTACCTATCAACTAGTTTTTTTAACAAAGCCACATGATGTGAAACACGCGCAATTTGACTTTGAAAATTTGCCAAATCGTGCCCCATTATTGGGACGCGTTCAAAAAAAGATTCGTTGTGCGAAATCTTTGTGAATACCCAATCCTTTTTTTCTTTTTTTTTTTTTATCATTACACGAGTATTTGTTTTGATTTATTTTTACGCCGAGTTGGCCGAAATGCGACTTTTTGGCTTTTCTTCGGCTGCAATAAAAAATGAACGCGCGCCATAGCACCACCGGGAGATCTTATCTGTACTTGGGCGAGATTTCCTCTTGTTTTCAAAAATGATCGCAAAAAAAAAAAAAAAAAAAAAAAAACAAAAAAAAAAAACAAACAAACAAAATGAAACTACAGGTACTTAGAATTTTGATTGGCGATAGTTTTGGCTTTTTTCCTCATTTCGTAACTTGCGTTTTAAACAACTTTAGTAATCTCTTTAGTTTAGGTGTCCTGGAGCCTGCTGGAGCTTAAGTTACCAGATTTACGACTAATTTACTTAGGTAAGCGACTACTAAAAAAGACTAGTGATCCTCTAGGGATTAAGTAGAATAATACACAACATCGAACGTGGATATCTGTCTCTCTCTCTCTCGCACATTCCCACCTTTGGATTCCAAAGTTTGCAAACCTACCACGTTCGATGTTGTGTCTCTTACGTGTGCTTCAGCGCCGACAACGCCGTACGAGCAGTCTATTTTTCTTATATCTCTATAGCAGAGATTAGTAGTCTATAGTTGTCTATAGTTGTCGCTCGCGTTCTTGCACGTGAAAAGTAAACAACATAACCTTAAAATCAAAAAACTATTGCATTCTTTGAGTGCCTTTAACAACAATGTTTTGGACCGAATTTTAAGCTTTAACAATGGTCAGGCACAACAATCAATTACCCGACAATCTTCCTCAACTACAGAACCTTATCAAGCGCGATCCTGAGTCTTACAAAGAAGAGGTGGGTTCTTTTTCACTAGTTTTCAAAAGTTTTCTATGCAAATATCAATATATATTGTACTTCAACAGTTCCTGCAACAACACCGGCACTACAAGTCGACCTTGGAAGTATTTAATTTCACCCCAGACAAATTCAACAAAAGTCTCGATGAGCTGGTTATGTTTTTGGCGCAGGTGAGACTTTAAAGTTGTTTTTATTACCTTAATTTTCCGTATGATCACTATATACTCAACAATTTGACAAATCGGTAAATGTAACTTTTGGAGAAAAGAAATGTTATTGTCAGATTAGAATTTTAATTTTTGCAAACTATTTTTACAACTATCGAGAGATAATTTTTACTTTCAGGTTTGAGAAATTAAAGCTTGTCAAGTTGGACATCTGTGCTTAGGCTTATTTTATTAACCCTAACTGTAAATTTTCATTAAATTTCATACACTCTAAGCAATCATGGAAGAGTGCGTTGCTGCATTGAAGAAAGATATCAAATGTAGGGATTCCCTCATTAGAGACTTGTACTTGTTGCTCACCGATGAGCCAATGTTTCAAAGCATTTTTATTTTTGGCCATGTGTCTTGTGGCAAATCATTCATAGTTCGGAAACTGCTTAAATACTTAAAGTACAATGTTTCTATCGTGAATTGTCTTGAGCACACGAGCAACAGAAGTCTCTTTGAAAAAATTCTCGTTGATCTCTCATCGTTTAAACTTTCTTCGGAAAATGGTTACAAGTTCGATATAAGGAGTGACAATTTTGTAGATTTTAAAAACCAGTTGGAACTGATACTAAATGAAATGCCAGAGTCTCAAAAAAAACCTTCTGTCATTGTACTGGAAAGGAGTGAAAAATTACGCGACATGAACGAGAATATACTGCCAGCCATGATGAGATTAGGCGAACTGACAAAAACCAATATTTGTACCATTTTAACCACCGACGTTATTTTCGCAAGGTTAGCCTCGAAAACGGTATCATGCGAACCTGTCAAGGTACATTTTCCTCAGTACAGCAAAGACGAATTAAAAGAAATCCTTATGCATCTAACCAAACCAGAAGAATACAGCCAAGAGTTTTACTATCATTACTTGGAGTTTTTCTTCCTAACATTTTACAGATTTTGTCGTGATCTTGGCGAACTGCGATACATGGCCAAGAAAATTTTTCCGGATTACATCGATCCCATTATATCCAAAATGATCGACCCTAGTGATACAATAGCTCTTTACAGAAATATTCGCAAGACCTTTAAAGCCAATCTCGAAGTTATCTATCTGCGAATGTCGACCGAGGATTTCGACCAGCAGTCAAAGTTCTCTCTTGAAATTGAATCGACCAAAATGCTAGCTCTAAGCTTCGAGCTGCCGGCTTTTTCAAAATATCTTCTGATAGCTGCATTTTTGGCGTCCTACAACCCGCCGCTCGAAGACAAAAAAATATTTATGAAGGAAAGTGGACCGAGAAAAAAGCGAGCTTACAAGTCGCAAAAGAAACCGAAAAAGTCCAAAGCTCACGGGGGACCGCGCAATTTCCCGTTAAATCGGTTACTTGCTATTTTTTGCTCGATCTACTCTGATAAGGTAGACCTCAATGCTCTTTTGTTGACGCAGATACCCTCGCTGTGCCAATTGGGCTTGATCGGGCTGGTTGGCGATAACGACATCAATGAGCCAAAATACAAATGCTACATCAATTATGAATTTGCCTTGTTTATTTCGAAAACCATCAGCTTTGAGATGAACATGTATTTGTACGATCGTAATTAATCCTATTTAATTTATTCAAAGGGAATCCCTACATTTATAGTTTTTATTTATACTTTGCGATGAAGTTAATTGCTTGAGTTATTTAAATTTTTGTACCATTAAGTTTTGTATGATAAATTTGGTAAAGGAAAATAAAAAAAAATGCCAAGATATTTCTTACTTTCATTTCGTTTTCCGGCTTATTATGCACTGTCCTTTATTTTTATTTACGCAATAATTTTCTGAAAGTAATGATTTTTTTAATGCAGGTCGCGCATTGCTATTGCGATGATTTGCTGTCGTTTCCTCAAGAACTCATCGACATTCTCAAAGATAAGAACACTGTCTTGGACAAGGACATGCGTATGGTTTGTGTTGTTTTTTTTCCCCCCTAATTAAATGTTATCTTTAATCATTTATATCTTTAAAGAATATTTTTACTTGTAGACATTTTGTAAGGCACTAATCTTACTCCGTAACAAAAACCTTCTCGAACCCACTGCTTTACTGAGTCTTTTCTTCGAGCTGTTGCGTTGTCAGGACAAGTCACTTCGTCAATTTCTACAAACGCACATAATAACGGATATCAAAAACATCAATGCGAAGCATAAAAATGCCAAGGTCAACACTACCCTACAGAACTTTATGTTTCAAATGCTCAAAGACACGAACGCTCGCGCGGCAAAGATGTCGGCGGACATAATGATCGAGCTGTACAATAAAAATGTATGGAGTGACACAAAGACGGTTAACGTCATTGCCACCGGGTGCTTTTCTAAATTTACAAAGGTAGTCGTTGCGAGCTTGAAGTTCTTCCTGGGCAAGGATGAAGGTGAAGACGAGGATAGTGACAGCGACAGCGACGACGAGCCTAATATCAAAGAGGTCATGATGGCAAATAAAGTCAATAAAAAGACCAAAAAGAGGCAAAAACAGCTTAAAAAGGTCAAGAAATTGTATACGGTAAGTTTTTTCTCGGCTGTTCTGTATGTGTGCTTTTTTTTACCATAATACTTACAATTTATTATTACTTTTTAGAAATCCCAAAAAAAGAAGTCAAAGGCTCCAACGTACAACTTTTCGGCACTTCACTTGATTCACGACCCACAAGGCTTGGCGGAAAAATTATTCAAACAACTGGAAAAAAAGAATGACAGATTTGAAGTCAAACTGATGACTCTCGACGTCATATCCAGACTCATAGGCGTGCACAGTTTAATTTTGTTCAACTTTTATCCTTATGTGCAACGATTTCTTCAGCCACATCAGAGAGGTACGTTTAGTTTACTTACCATTCTTATTGTGTTAATATAAATCATGAAATGCTTTATGGTACTTTCAGAGGTGACAAAGTTACTGCAGTTCGTGGCACAAGCTTCGCATGATTTGATTCCACCAGATGTAATGCAACCAGTTGTCAAAACATTGGTAAACAACTTTGTGACTGAAAGGAATTCCTCGGATGTTATGGCTATAGGGTAAGGGTATATCTTGTACATTTATTCTTAACATATTTCTTTGTCACACTTTTTTCCAAAAACTGCAATTTTCTTGCAGATTGAATGCCGTCAGAGAAATCTGTACAAGATGTCCGTTTGCAATGAATGAAGATCTCCTGCAAGACTTGGCAATGTACAAAACTCACCGAGACAGAAGCGTTATGATGGCAGCCAGATCACTCATTGGCTTGTTTAGGCAAACGATGCCGGAATTGCTGCATAAAAAAGACCGAGGCCGTCCGACGGAAGCTACGGTTGCTCTGGAACCTCTAGAGTACGGGAAAGTTACAGCAAAAGAATTTGTGCCTGGAGCTGAAGTTCTTCTCGAACCTCAAAAGGATATTGAAATCGACAGTGAGGACAGTGATGTAAGATGGATAATTTCATTGACGTTTTGTGGGAAAAAAATGTGCTTAATACCAATTTTACCTTTTTCATGTTTAGAATGACGGTGAATGGATTGATGTGTCTCAGAGTGACGGTGAAGGTGAAGAAATGGAAGACGACGAAGATGTTGATGATGAAGTATCTGGTAGTGAAATTGGCGAATCCGGTGATGAAGAGGAAGACTGTGACGACGGAGACGAGGATGAAGACGTGGAAGGAGAGGAAAAAGAATGTCAGAAAAGCGAAGAAAAGAAAAAAACGGACAAATGTGAGGATGACAAGAGTAAAAAAAAAGAGGAGAAATCACCGTCAAAACCAACGCTTGTAACGAACAAAATAGGAAAGAAATCGAAGAACTCAAAATTAGAACGGAAAAAGAGAAAGTTGGAGGAAAAGAAAAAGTTGCAGGAAAAATTAAAAGCTCGAAGTAAAATGGAATACACAGCTGAGAGGCAAGCTAAAGCTTCAGAAGTTTCGATCCAGCGTTTGCTCACAGACGAGGATTTCAAGAGAATCGACATGACGTTGGCAAAACAGCAAGTCACGCATGCGAAAAAAGGGATAAAACGCCCATTAGAAGAAGAAAAGGGTAAAGGGGAATTGGTAAAATTAGGTGATATTGAAAATATTTACAAGAGGCGCAAATTCACCAAGGAAGAACGAGTAGCCAGTGTCAAGGTAGTGTAATATTTTTTTTTTTTCTTTAAACTAAGGACACCGATGATGAATACAAAAAAAAACAATATAATAATTATAAATAAATACATTTAAACTCTAGAAAGGACAAGAAGAGAGAGACAAGTTTGGCTACAAAGACGGTCGTCAAAATCCCCTGTGCAGCAGAACAAACCGCGAGAGAAGTAAGAACAAGAACTACATGATGATAAAGCACAAAGTTAGAAGCAAAGTCAAGCGATCTTTCAAAGATAAACAAATAGCACTAAGGAATCACTTGCTCAAGTTAAAAAAGATGAAATAGAGCCGACGTTTGTAGCTTCATACATATATGTACAAACTTGGTGGTTTTTACACTGTTAATATGTAAAATCGAAAGATCTTCTATACGTGCAAAATATCAAATTTATTTAAATTTCAAACAACGTGTGTAAAGTAATTTCAACGATTGTTTTTTCCAAGTTAACATTAGGTGGTACCAGTTACGACCGAAACAAGCAGCAGCTGATAACTCTCCTACCGTTGCTCCAAAAATTATCTCACCATGTATACCTATAGATTTTCCTAAAGCATTGCAGACTCATCGACCGAACGATGGACAGCAGGGCGAGGTAAAGTGCCGACGACAACGACGACGGGTGGTTTTTGTATGCACACAATATAGTTGTTCACCCAAGCGAGGTGCACAAACTGTACAGCGGCGGCGTGTGACTCCAAAAGCGGGCGCATCTCTCCTCTCCTCCACCCGTGATCCTAACTGCCTACGTTGGCTCATTCAGTCACGGTCTAGGCGTGCGTGTATGCTTGGCAAAGCTGTGCCTCATCTTCTCTTGTATAACACACCTCACAGCAACAGCATGTCTCTTTATACAAAGATGTAATGCAAGTATGCTACATAAGAGTTTGAGAAGAGAGTAAGAGTTGAACATGCGGGCTCGGTATAATATTTTTATCGTTATCTCCACCTTTGGTTTTTTAAATTAAAGTTGTAATGTATACAACCGGTTGTCGTTGGCACACGTGCTTCTGATAATATCATCCGGAGTTGTGCTTTCTCGAAGGAGGTAATTGTAAAAAAAAAAAGATTGAGAAAGTTGCATCAAAACGGCAAAAGGATGCTGATAAACGAGGAGCCGGAATGGCCTACCGGCATCACCGAGGATGACCTACAAATGTTTCCCGAGTTCAACACCATGAGCCCTTTCGGTATGTTACGAGAGATATACTATACCAATATATACCATTGAAAAACGTGCTGCGTATTGTACATGATGATCATCATCGCCGGTCACTTTTTTTTTTTCTTCCATCCTTTATAAATGCAATATACACCTTTGTGCCGCGATAATGAGCTTCCGAGAAATTTACACGCGCTTATCGCCAGTTAGAAAAGCGTTTTTTAATGTCACGTCTCAGTTTGAAAACGCGCGTATGTTTGTGTGCGTATAATCACGGGGCTTTATTATTATTTTTGTTTGTACATTGATCACCACGACGTTCGGTAAAAATAGGAGCCATCGTCGGTGCGGTACTGCATCGATTAGACTGAATTATCGATGAAGCTCTTAGCATCGATCGACGCGTGTATACACAGGTGTTTAGATGTACCGGAT